GAAGTAGTAGTGGGAGAGAGAGAGGATATGGGAGTGTGCATGTTCGTCAGCGCGGCTCCTCTACGCTGAATATACTCCTAGCATACGCTCGATGAGCACAGTGAGCTCAATGAGAACGCTGAGCACTATTAAGGATAGATTTGTGACAGTGGGTAATGTGCTGTGCAGGTCAGAGTCAAGTTGATGTCATTACTTGTCTGGTATGATGAATGTTCGGCATTTGTGAACGGCCTTCACAGGTTCGTTAGACCCTCTGCCACGTTTGTGAGATTGCGAAGCTATTCTGTGGTGCCCGGTGCCTACATTGTAAAGTGGGCCTTGCTCCGCTACTCACCAGCAAAATGGGAATGAATCTTCCACTGGACATGGACCTACGCACCGACCTACTTCTTGTCTTTTCTGCATGCGGTGAGTAGTGCAGCAAGGCCCAATGTTTGCGTAACACTAAAAAAGGGGAGGAAAGAAAGGCAACCTACTTTGCCGCACTGGTTGATTTGAAACTTCTTTCTGTGCGTATTCACCACCGTCTTCTTGCGTGCCTAAACCGCCAGTACTGTAGCCAAGGTGTGATTTCCGGATCCTTAGAGGAGGCTCTCTGCAAACCCCTCCACAGTCAGATTCACAATCCGACGGGCTTTTCCATGCCTGGCAGATTCCGGAGAAACTGCCTCCGTGTGGGACACTGAGCAGCCACCTCAGGTACAGTGGCCGTCGGGTTCTTGAGGCGTGACGGAACTACATGTGCAGTGTGTGAAAAGATGGATGCAGAGTGAAGGCCTGGATGACATGGCGGGTATGAATGGGATTATGGCCACAAATTCAAAAAAAACAGATAGTAGTAGTCCTGTGGGCATTCTCTCATTCAACAGACTATAACTCTCAGGGCCAGGCCCTAATAATGTTTTTTTTTTTTTTTTTTTTGTGCTACTGATGCTATGTTTCTGCTGTGTTGGCGAGAACTCGGCCAGCTTAATGATCGAGGTGATGTTTTCTATACAGATAGAAGACACCATTATGGCCTGGTGTTTACACAGAATTGAGCAATCCTCCTCTTTGAAAAAAAAAAAATAATAATAAAATGGTCATCAGGCATAAGAGTTGAGCAATCCTAATCCGAGTACTTGTTATGCTCTTTCAAGTGTGCACCTTGCTCTTTCAAGTGTGCGCCTAGCTCAGTTGGTACTCCCATGAACTCTTGAAATGCAGACCAGAGTTCGAATCCAGATGCAATCGGATGGACAGAACAAAAAATTATGAATCACCTGGGCCGGTCAGCTCAATGATGTTACCTCAAGGCTGTTGTCCTTTTTTTTCCTCAAAAAAAAAAAAGAGGACTCACAATTACAACCCAGAAGTGAATTGACTACTCGACATGGCACCGAGTCACCGACAGATGAATTTTAAAGAAGCAAATGTAGAATAGGAGGGAAAACATGAAAGCAGCAGTGAGGGCAATTACAGCCGCTGCTGAATGTTTTCAAACCTCGCTGGCTTTGTCCGTCTGAGAATGAGTGTTGAAAGAATCAATGTCAGAGAATCAACGCTAGCATCTATGAGCAAGAACCTTCATGACACCCGTAAATTGAGAAATGATCCAGTTTTCAAAAAAAAGACAAAAATTGATGTCCGAGAGTCCATGCGAGCATCTATACGTGAGAACCTTCACAGGATGTTTAATACTCACCGCTGGAGCAGACTGCTCTAGCCATGTACACACGCACGCACACACACACACACACGAATCGGTCTGGTACGGTCATGCTTTTTTTCAAGTGTATAGTGAATATGACAACACACGAAACGGTCCTGTCTGGTCTGTAGGGGTGGCCACTTACCATAGGCAATGGTTGCTCGTCAACTCAAAATCTCCTGCACCCCAAATTTTCATATTTCTTTAATAAGTTTAATTGCTATTTTTGTTATTCTCCGGGTTAAGCCGGCGTCCGGTCCAGACGGACCGGGGGGGGTCCGTCCGGCAAAACCAGACGAGCCAAAATACGTCCCATTTATTATTTATTTTTTTTTTTGAAGATGGGGTTGGAGTGCGCTCGCTGAGAGGAGCCC